GTCCAACTCCCTGCTCCTTGCAGGACTGCCATTAAGCTCAGCAGTGACCATTAAGGAAACCTGTGTAATAGCAGAATGAATAGCTGGTATTAAATTGTGGAGCTAATTTGCTACTTTTTTTTGTACCTCAAAAAATATGAATATTTTATTTTTGTATGTGATTCTGGGGGGTTTCGAGTCCTCTGAAACACTCCTGAGTGTTGCATGACATGTACCAACGATAAAAGGGAATACTTCCCAGTGCTGGTTATTAATTTTGTATATAACAAACACTTCTTTCTTCAGTATTTCTTTCAACTCCATTTTTGAAGTTTTGAAGACTAAATCATATGAGTAAGAACATCATTCAGAAGCCCCCTGAACAGGCACAAAAGATAACCACCATGTCATTAAAAAAAACTATAATACTGTTTGATCTCATAGGATACTTGGCAAAGGTAACATAAATAAATTGAAATTAAGACTGTTGAGAAAACATAATGGAGAATTAGTTGTAATCTAGAACTGTGAGCATATTTTAAGCTCTGTTGACTTCATCTATCAGATAATTCTTTAGGGAATATAAAGAGTGTTACAATTTGTTTGGCACTGTAATTTTTTATGTTACCATTACAAATTACTGTGTTACTTTCACTTATATTATCAGATGTGGTCTGATAGTGTAAGTAAGGTCTGTTCTTAAAGCAGAGAAATAATGTGATCCCACAAAGTAAACATTTGCCAATGGAAATAAACACACACTATTACTCAGTATTCCATTTATTAAAATTGCTTAGTTACCTCTTTCCTTTCTTGCTTTGTTCAATTAACTCCATTTTCAGGTTTTTATAGTCCTTTTTATATCTCTGCAACATATTTCCTCTTTCCATTGCTGTTTTCTGACATAGATTTAGTTTATCTTCTGCATCTCTATCAAATAAACAAAGCATAATCAAAAAAAATAGGAACTATTTTTGCAAAGAAACCCAATTTTTATTGCTCTCTACCCCACAAGATGTTTGCAAAGCACTAGTCAAACACCCTCCAACTCTTAAAACTAGGTTTGGAACATCCATAGTCTCCAGATTCCCCACAAGGATGTCTGCAGTCTGGAGTGGTGTCCAAAGCTCATCAATAGGCACCAGGCGTCACAACTGCCAAGGACGTAGATGGCTGACTCTGTGCCATGACATCTGAACACAGAAATAACCTTTTTTCTTTCAGGAGTGACTGGTCAGGATGCACTTATGGGAAACAGCACTAAAATATAAATTAAGAATTTTTACTTCTTTAGTGAAGACAGAATATCGAGATATTATTTGAATATTATATAGCATGAGGTTGTAAGAAACTGACAGACAGGTATGTCTTCCTGACAGCCTCTGGACACTGTTTACATTTAGTCTGGCATTTGTCTCCATCAATATTTTCATGAAGAATAAATCTTTTACTTTACATGCTGCACAATCATGTTTGAAAATATGTATGCTTGTTTACAACAGAAGATATATAGTCGTGTAACATACAATCACTCTAGTTAGTTATAAGGGCACATTCATGTTTAACATACATTATGAACTGGTTTAACAACCTTTATTTTTTTTTCCTCCATTTCTTGAAGGACATTCAGTACAAAATAAACAACTCCCTCCTCCTAAATTTGGCTCTGAAGTGAAAGTTTCAAGCCCTAGATTACAAGACCCACACAGTACCAGTTATCATGACATCCCAAAGAGGAGATTGCGCTGGCAAGCAGACCACAGTAAAATGATGATATAGAAGTACACTTATTACCTGAGAATTTTATCTTGAGCTGAAACTTCTGCTTCCAAGTTTACAATCTGTTCTTTCAGCTTTGGAATGCTGACTAAATGTGTACCTAAAGTCGATTCAAGATAAGAAATCTGAAACAGAAACATATTTGGGGTTTAATTAACACTTCTGTGTGAATATGTATATACACACACACATACACCCACACATTCAGATGAGACACAGAATAATCTGCTTACTGAATGATACAGTGCTCTTAACCTTACTGCAGAAGATGATTGTTCATCTACAGGAATTGAACTTCAGTCTTCCAACTGACACCCTTCCAGTTCCCTAGCACCACTGCAGTGTGGTACACTGTCTAGCAGACTGATTTCTTTATATGTTGATCTTGTCTCTTAATTTTTCCTCAAAAGTTTATATTCCACTATTTGTTCTGTCCATGACAGACAAACATTTATCTACCTATTTATTTACTTATAGATCTCCAGGGCTGGAGATGCACAAAGTGCATTAACCATAGCTATGTTTTCTTAATGTTACCTATAAGCTCAATACAAGAATAGACTTGTCCTGAAAAAACAAGTGTGTATTAAATCAGCAACGATTTATTAGATACAATATTTCCTTCTAACCCACCTTCACTTTTTCAAAATAACAATATTAATCCAACCTGAAAGGTTAAAAATTTTATTTCCTAGACAAATGTCTACCATGCCATTATTGTTCCCATTATTCCCCATGTAGCTCAGACATGTGAATGTACAGTACTAAACACATTGATCTATTTTCCTACATAATGTATTCTTCATTCTGCGACTTACTGGCTTTAGATTAAAGTTTGGAACATGAACAGATAGAATTCATAATTAATATAGTTGGTTTGCCCATGAAGAAATAGGTTCTAAACTATCCTGTTCCAAAATGAATGCTGAATATTATGTAAAAATAGAATATTGAAGTTTTAATCTACCTAATATTTAGAAAAAACAAAACCCAGCATGTTCTGCTTGGAATGACACTCAAAAGTCATGGTCACTGGGGCTTTTGAGAGAATTTGTTTTTGTTTTTTGATGAATATACTGAAGATACATACTCTTGTTTTTGACTGCAGCAATTCGAAGTTCATTGTTTCCACTCTGTTCTTTAGGTAATGGTTCTGAGAAGTCAAAGATGCATTTTGCTCATGAAGGGCATCCAGCTTCTCCTTAAGATGTTCATCTTCTTCCATGGTTCTATCAGAAGTTGTGGATACTGGGCAAGACTAGATATAACAAATGGGTTTATATATGTATTTTATATATATATATATACACACACTTATGCATATGTAAGCAACATACACATCAATGGAAACTCTGCAGAACAAACATACTGAAATCATATTATGTTTAAGACAGCTCCGTAGATTGTCTAAGAGTTGTCTGTTGATATGATTGTCCATTGCTATGCTGTATCGACTCCAAGCCCTAAAAGCAAAACAATTCTCATAAACATAGTAAAGAATAGAAAACCAAAGTAATAAAAATAAGTAATGAAGTGCAATATTTACTTCAGATTTCCTTTGAAAATTCTTGCCTGATGTTTTACCAGCATTCTTCTTACAGCTGGAAAAGCCTTGATAGTTGCAGTTAGGCTGAACAAGGTCCTTCAGAGTGAAGTCTACAGCCTCATCCAAGCAGGGTCCATAACGCTCACTCGTATGAGTGCTAGGAGTGAAAGTAAAAAGTTGCTATGCTATTATTATTGCTCATAAGGAGTTTTCAAAAGAAAAGCATAAAGGGAGCTACTTGTGATAATCCACTAAACTGAATAAGATAGAATTACACTACAAGAGATGGGCTGATCTCATTCCCAAACACACTCATACCTGGAAAGCTCTTCCTCTACAGTTTGTAGGTTTTTTTCAGTTCTCCTCAGCTGATTCCATAATGACTGCAAATTTGCAAGGTCTTCATAAGCAGCACTTTCAGAGCAAGTCCACATCGTACAATCCACTGGCACCACACGTATGACTAAAGTAACATTTAATGTCAAAACATTGTTAAATATATGTTAAAAGTATTTGCAAAGTTACTTTTAAAGACACCAAAATAAAGCAACTAGGAGAAAAAGAGGAAGGAAAAAAAACCCTCACCTAATACTGACTTGACAAATGTCATTGGTGACATTTCACACACCACCTCTCCCCCCATTCACAAGATATGAGTGATATGCCCACAGTGACACGGTTTAATGGTGGTCTTGGCAGTCCTGGGGTAATGGTTGGACTTGATCTTAAAGGTCTTTTCCAACCTGGCTGATTTTATAATTCTATTCTATAAAAATCACTCTGTACAAATTGTCTTTTTTGAGAAAAATTTGAGTTCATTGTGTATTCATAAAGTGCAAGAAGCTTCATGAACTATGAAAACCAGAAAAGCCTGCTATACATTGGTTGTCAAAGATCCCTTGTACAACACACCTTAGTTACTTCAGAAGCCCCGTGCAGCTGGCAGGGTGACTGAAAACGTGACAGCATACACAATCACACACATAGAACAGTTTGGGCTGGAAAGGACCTCCAAAGCTCATCTAGTCCAATCAGCTGCAATGAGCAGGGACATCTTCAACTAGATCAGGTTGCCCAGAACCACATCCAGCCTGTCTCCAGGGATGGCACTTAGACAAAAAATTTGCCTTGCCATTCAATAACCACCGAAATTAAAGATCAGAGCAGCGAGGACTTCATAGAAGAGACACGGTGAGTTGCTCAGCTGGGGTGTGTCGAGACAACACGACACGCGTCCTCACCGCAGAATGTGAGCTAGTAAACCGGGCTTGATACGGGAAACGAACTCAGATGATGCACAGAAACCAATGCTGGCCTTTTCCCAGCAGCGCGGGGGTCCCTCCTCCGCCGCCAGGCCGCGCAGACCGGCACCCGGCACGGCGGCGATCCCACCTCGGGGAGACCCAGATCGCTGAGGCCCAGCACTGCGCTCCCTGCCTCGGCGCTCTGCAGAGGACCAAAGAGACGGGAGAAGCGAAAAGGGGCTACCCCTCAGCTGTCAGCACCGATCCCTCCCTCACCGGAGCCCGCAAGGCCCAAGCCTCAGCCCGCTTCAAACACCGCGGGCTCCATCAGCCCAGTCCCGCCTCCCAGCCGGGCCCGTACCGCACATGCGTAACCCACTACTTCATCTCACGCTACCGCCGCGTTCCTGCGCCGCGGTGCACTGTGGGCAGGCGGCTGCGATTGGTGGAGCTCCCCGAGGGGCCGGGCCAGGTCAGGCCCTCGCTCCGCCACGGCGGGTGTTCTCCGCACGCCGTCGGGATGGGGCTGCGGCTCTTGGTGCCGCTCGGGTGCTTCGCGCTGCTCCTACCGCCGCCCGGTGTCGCCGAGTTCAGCCCGTCCCTGGACAGCGACTTCACCTTCACGCTGCCCGCCGGCCGCAAGGAGTGCTTCTACCAGCCCATGCGCAAGGAGGCCTCGCTGGAGCTCGAGTATCAGGTCAGGCAGGGCGGCTGCAGGGACGCCCCGGGCGGGCGAGCGAGGGACCTTACCGCACGGCAGGGCTGACGGGAGACGGGCGGGGCGGTTCGGTTGCCGGTTCCTTCTGACAGAGGCTCGTCCCTGCTCTCCCGGGGGCCGCGCACCCCCCGCCCGGGGCCGCGGCCGGATTCGCCGGCTCCGTCCCGGTGTCGTTCCCGATCAGCGGCCCCGAGCAGGATGTGCGCCGTGCCTGCGGTGCCGCCGGCCCTGTGTAGCGCTGAAAGACCCGTGTTGGAATTACACGGTAGCGAAAGCTCTGCCTTTGTGGTGGGGGGAAACCCTCCCAACGTTTACAGCCTATTTATAGTTATTCTAAATAGATCACTTCTTTACAAGATTTCAAGTTGCCATTCCTTTAAAACGGGAATAAATGTAGGAATGTAATGGCCCTGGCCTTGCGTAGTAGTTCTAAAGCTTAAACAAAATTGTTGCTGATGCGCAGACCCTTTACTTGCCTATCTTTGTGTTGGTAAAACACTTTTAATCTCAGTGATGCAAGGTTTTTGGAAACAGCCTCATTTAACTATACTAACGTTAAGGTCTTGATGCCCTTCTTGGGAAGAGCAGAGTTCCCCAGATACTCTGTGAGCGTTCTCGTCTCTTTCTTTTTAATTCCTTAAAATAGACTTCTCAATAGAGCAGGCATAGACAGGGAAGCTGCAGTGACTATTCTCCTGGCCTAGTATTGTGCCTTAGAATTGGCTGGGATCTGTCTCTTACCCCATCACATTTTTCCCTTTTCTGCCTCCCAACTAAAACTACAAAGCTGAAATTGCTGATTATTTTGTAGCAGAACTGAGCAAGAATAAAAGATTGAGGTGTTCAAGTTCTGTTCAGAGCCCAGTCTAAGCAAAAGGAAACTTATTTGGGATCAATAACATAGGAGTTTATTTTAGGGAGAACAAATGTGTGTAACAGTGAATTTATTTCTACTTGGGCATAAATTTCTCACCACTACTGCTAACAGTAAGGATTCATCTATTTATTTGAATGTTTAGAAAAGGACCTCTGTATGATACTGAAAATAATTGATTTTGTGCTTAATTATCCTGAGTTATGCTAAATCATAGAAGTGCTTAATGTGGGATGCAGGTCAAAGACATAATGCAGTAAACTATGGTGATAGGAAGCTTTGTTCTGGATATTTAGATTGTATCATAGCCCTAAAGACATATCACTATATATGGGTTTTAATTAGGTCAGCTCTTAGCTACTCATGTTGTCCTTTCTCTTCTTCTTGGTAAGTCTCCAACGTCACTACGCTGGTCTAAACTTTGCCCTAAATTTCAGCAGAAGCAGATTGCTGTACTCAAATAGCTCACTGGAAAACAAGTGAACACAAAAAATCTCCTAGCATGGACCCAAGTCATAAAATTATCCCACTCTGACCCCCTTACAGTTCCTACCTTCCCTGTAGAAAATTTCTACAACACAACAGATGTGGTGATACAACTGTAGTCAGTTAAAGCAGCACAGCTTTGTTGTACTGTACACACTTATTGTGAGCTTAGGAAGCTAAATGCCTTCAATTCCTTCTGCCTTTGGGAAATGAGAATGCCCTTGGAGAATTCAGCCCTTGAATCTGATTAGAAGGTAAGGTGACCTGTGGTACAGTTTTGAGTGGCATAGGAAGTGTAGTACTGTCTTCTACACTGCTAATTCACACAACAGAAAGATCTTGGGGATGAGGCTGCATAGCTTGTGTTCTTGTACAAATATATGTATGCATAAACATGACAGACTTTTGTTACAAGGTTTTCAACATAAAACTAGCTCTGGCACTTACCCATTGATCATGTGTGTCATAGAAATGCTAGATTTGGCCATCGGCTGGTGTTCTTACAGGTTGTTTGCCCTGCCCAATGATAAAATTGTACACAGTATTAAAAACTAATAGGGAAAGGGTCAATAGCAGCTCAGCATGATTGGTCATGTTTAGTTTAAGATTTTAAATGCTTAAAATGCTTTTGGGTTGAACCAGTTTATAATCTGTTTCAAATTAGCTTGGTGTGAACTCATACTGACAGATTCAGCTTTTGGATTCTTCCTGTATCTATTCTCTTCCCTGAAAATGTTACTATCAGCAATGCAAAAGCAATTGCACTGGTTGGAAGTGGTTTTGTTTGGTTTTTTTTTTTGATTCACAGGTTCTAGATGGAGCAGGATTAGATGTTGATTTTCACTTACTGTCTCCAAAGGGTGAAACTCTAGTTTTTGATGAAAGAAAATCAGATGGAGTTCATACGTAAGTTTAACATCTACAAATTAGAAGTGTTATATAAAGTACTTTTCTGGTTTCTTTAGCAGATGTAACTAAACCGAAGGTTGAATACTTTTTATTCCTTAGTATGATGAAAGACTTTCTAATAGGAAATGCTTTTTACATGGATCGTACCATAAAGTGAAAGATATTTTTGGTTTAATGATCGTTCTTAAAGGTCAGCAAACAAAAATAGTTACTGTGGAGTTGAAAAAGGTATCCACATGTAATATCAAAAGATCTTATGAGTCATATAAATAATAAGTGGAAATGTTCCCCATTTTCCCAGCACTTTTATCAAGATATGTAGTAATTGCTCTAATTGTACTATCAACTATAAGAATTCCTCTCATAATACAGCTTTTTTGTAATGAGTAGCAATGACACAAAATTCCAATAAAGTAAAATGAAAGCAAACTTCTCCGTAACTTCAAGCCTTTAGAGTAAGCGTGATTGTTATGCTGTGCCTGTGCAATCTGTAATGCGTCTCTGAGTCCTTCTTTTTGTATAAAGAAGCATAATTTAGTTATTTCTAAGCAGATGACTGCCACTCTTTAAGAGGAAAGTCTGCTTACAAAACTTGCTTTTTCAGGACCAGAACAAAAAAGCATAGTTAATGACATTTGCTTATATACACAGGGTGGAAACAGAAGATGGAGATTATATGTTCTGCTTTGACAACACATTCAGTACCATTTCTGAAAAGGTGATTTTCTTTGAACTGATCCTGGACAACATGGGAGAAGACGGAGAAGATCAGGAAGACTGGAAGAAGGATGTCACAGGCACAGATCTCCTAGATATGAAATTGGAAGACATTCTGGTTAGTATTTAATCTTTTTAATTCTTTTGAGCATGAGCATTTGGAAAAAACCCCTCAGTATCATTTAGCTGTGCTGCCTTGGTCTGGTGCATCATTCCAGTTCTATATATTGCTTTTACTGATACATCAAGTCTAACACCATGGGTCTCTTGTTTCCAGAGAAGAAACTGCCTAGCTCTCAAACTCACTCTGTTTCCAATTTAAGTTTCTTCTTACGTGTCGTGGTTTAAAAGTGACACTACTGCTAAAATGGGACATTTGTCTCTATCAGCAACAAAATGAATACTTGTATTAAAGTATTGCTTAATGCCAGTGATACACAGTTGAAATCACTGCACGGATTTTTATTAATGTTTGAAAATAAAATACTGTGTTAGCCTCTTCTTCCCATCTTTGCAGAAATACTCCAACCACATATTGAATACTTCAATATATCTTCATATAATATAATCTTCAATAATTTATGTATTACTTCACTAGTCTTTTTTGCCCTTAAAATGTTATTTCCTCTCTTCATAATAATAAACAGGACAGCAGTTAATCTGTACTACACTGCAGGTTCACCTTTGCAAGCATTCCATCCATGATAAAGTTTGTTTAAACTGCATGCTGACCCTGTTTGATGTAGGATGAAGACTACTGCCAAGTCAAAACTTTATTTCCTTTCATGATCATTAAATGTTGAGATTACTTTAGAAGAGCATTACGTGGTTTTCCTGTACCACTGTTCTTAGTGCTTGACAGAATGCAAATTGTGTGTTCATTGCTACAGCCAATAGGTATCATAAAAACAAAACAAAGACCAGCCACGCACAAAACCTAAGCCAACATCCACGAACGCTGAATACACTCGTATAAAGAATGCCATTTTATGTATTCTAGTTATTGCAAGAAAGAAAATGCAGATTCTGAAACAATAACAAGATCTTCTATAGGCATACAATAAACTTTCAAATAGTTCAAACAGCACCTGGAAACCTAGCCTGAACTTCTTTAAGACTGGCAATCAAGACAATTCGAAAGACTTAGAGGGGAAATTGTGAAGAAAATACTTCTCACTCATCACAAGCAATACTTGAGTGATTTTGATAGCTTGACATACTTGATAACAAGATACATTTGAATGGATTTTTTTGTGTACATACTGGTGTATCTTTCAGAAGAAAAAGAACTGCAGAACCTAATCTTTGAGAGCTTTGCAGATCTTATGAAGTAGGTAATTTCTGTAAAGTTCACAGTAGTACTTGATGCCATTGTTTACTTATTACTTCACTTGCAAGTTCCGTGAGGAACTTGCATAAACACTTTGGAGTTGAACTTTTTAAAGATAAACAACATATTTGCTGGGGAAAATGGGGAACGGTGTCTTACTTTTAAAGCTCTTTTATGGTGTTGATATTCCTTATTGTGTAACACATGAACTTTACTATTGCAAGATTATTTGGCTTCCAAAAAATAGCTCTTTTGAAATACTTGTTAAATATTCAATGGAGAAAATGTTCATGGAGTAAATATTATTGCTGGATTTAACTTTTTTTAAAAACTTGTAGCCTCCTGTTACTGCACACATTACTTTTCTCACAAACAGTTATTTGAGGGCCCCATAATTATATCAAGAATGTAAATCAGCACTTGGTGAGATCAGCTTTTAGGTTATGACTGTCTATAATGTTACAGATGAAATTTTAACAAATCATAGGACCAGGCATTTCCTTTTTAAGGAGCGGATATTGAGCTGCTATTATTATGGCCAGGGTGTTCATGTACTTCTTCCAGTTCCCTGAGACACACTGAGTGTGCTTTGTAGCACCCTCCAATTGTCCTATTCAGAATTTATTGTCAAAATTCTGCTTTAGCATTGAAGCTGAAACGGCAGTTTACAACCACTACACTGAAGCATAAAAAGATGGGAATATTATTGTAGTTATTTTCTTTCGCTACAGCTACAGTCTAGATGGTAGTCTACATTACAAAGTACCTTCATTTGATTATCACGTAGAAAAAAAGACATTTGTCTGCTGCTACCTGACTTGTTGTGAGACTAGTTCTACAGAGATTGCTGCTTTTTGCTTGCCTTAAATACCTGGAACCACAGTTCTCCAAGATATGTGGAATATTAAAAAACTGGTTTTAGGTTTAATTTCTCTCTCCCCTCTCTTGCCTATAGAAGGGAAAACCCAAACTAATATAGAACCTTAATGCTGTGTTAATGAAACCTCTTTAGGTGATATACAACAAATTAATGAGGTATTTCAATGTGAAAGTGACTGTCATCTTGGATAAAATTGAATTACAGATTGTAACACAATGTTAATATTTTTATGTGTTGCAAGCAACACATTTAATTCATGTGGTTTGGGGTTTTTTGTTCTAAGTATTCTTTTGTTACTTACCAGGAATCCATCAACAGTGTCAAAGCCAAACTAAGCAAAAGTGTCCAGATTCAGACCCTGCTCAGAGCATTTGAGGCTCGGGACCGGAATATACAAGAAAGCAACTTCGACAGAGTGAATTTCTGGTCCATGGTCAACTTGGGTGTAATGGTGGTGGTATCAGCTGTTCAGGTTTACATGCTGAAAAGTCTCTTTGAAGACAAAAGGAAAAGTAGAACTTAATATTCAGTATGATCATAACAATATAACAGGTATGGGGGGAGAGGGGCAGAAAAAAACTACTACAGTGAAGAACAACAACAAACATGACCTTTCAGATTCTTTTGAACAGGCAGTAGACATCTGGTTTTCAAATCACATTGGGCTTTTTGGCTGGGGGGCGGTGGTCATCTTGTTTGGGTTTTGGTTTGGTTTTTTTTGTGTGTGTTTTTTGTGTTTTTACCATAAACAGAAGGCCTTGCCCCACATTCTTCCATTTTTCCAAGTGCTACTCTTTTGTTTTACTTGTAGGATTTGTTCATGATTGTGAACAACTAACTTATGCATAACATGGTGAATATGGAAAAGTAATGTTAAATAAGGTTTGTGGCAGGGACACAAGAGTCATCAGAGGGATGGAGCACCTCTCCTGTGAGGAAAGAGAGAGTTGGGGTTGTAGAACCTGGAGAGGACTCCAGAAAGACCTTATTGTGGCCTTGATGAGTTCTTAAAAGGGACCTGTAAGAAAGAGTGGGAAAGACTTTTTATCAGGACGAGGGGTGATGATTTTAAACTATAAGAAGGGAGATTCAGGCTGGATGTGGGGAAAAAATCTTTTACAATGAGGGTGGTAAAGCACTGGCACAGGTTGCCCAGAGAGGTGGTGGGTGCTCTGTCCCTGGGAGACATTCAAGGGCAGGCTGGATATGGTTCTGGGCAACCTGCTCTAGTTGAAGATTTCCCTGCTCATTGCAGGGGGTTTGGACTGGATGAGCTTTGAAGGTCTCCCAAGCCCAAATCTTCTGTGATTCTATAATACTGCCACTTTTTCCATATTCATGTAAAACTTTTTAAATGGTAACTTAAACATGGGTTTATTTGCTGTTAAACTTTGAATGAATTTACGTATGTGCCTAAGTGTTTACAGGACTGGGGCCCACTGGAGTAGTCTGTTGTTACTATGATTTATCTTGATTTATGTGTTTTTAAAAATGTTCAGCTTCTGTTGCATGGCATCATGGAGAAACACTGGGCTAACAGTGCAAGAACAAAATGAGAACTCTTTTTATACACAGATTACTAACATCAGCACTTTAAAGAAGCACCATCAATGTGAACTTGAGTCAGTGTTGGAAAGAATTGGAGAAAATAAGTGTTAATTCCTGTTCATAGATCTTTCTGTCTTCAGTTGTACAAGCCTGTTTCCATTTTTGGCTGTTATATGAGATTCAAGAGGCAGGTGTTATGGTACAAAAACAAATACACACACACTGAAGTGTGGTTTGCAAACTCTTAGCTGTTGTCATGTAATAGATAATTTTCAAGAAATTATTTCTCATATTATTCTTTCCCTTTAATAAAGGGGGCTGTGTGTCACAATATGTGGAAAGATTAACATTCTTGTTTGTAATCTCAAATCCCTCTTATTTACCACTTTATTTTTTATTGTCTACTACATCTGTGACTAATGGAGCAATTAATTGGGAGACTTACATAGGCATGAAAACAGAAAGCTGTTGCCCTAAACTTTCCCTTTTTGCTTACCTTCAGAAGTCTTTGAGCTATGTATATACACTCAGTTCATATGGGCAGTGTTTCTCACATCTAGCTATTTATTTAAGTCACAAAATACATGAACAGTTAAGTATGGGCTTCAAAATTCATAATCAGCAGAATATGGAGAATTAGTTAATAAAGGCAAAGCTGTCCTCAAATCAGTAATTTTTAATTTCTAGATAAAGTGGTTGTTACAGGGTACAGAGAATTTTTGCCAAAACCCCTGGTGTGAGATTTAAGTCAGTCATTTCCACAATGCACCAAGTTGCTCAGACTTCTTCTAGAAATGTATTAAAATACATTTCCTCACAAAAGTGTTTTTCAGAAACGCTTTCTTGAACACTTTAAGAAGTGTATTATTACATTGTGCCTGTTGTTGGGTCATCTGGATACAAACAGCAGAATTGCAACTTTGATACTTTGTTAGCAAAAATTAAGGAGATAAAACAGAATCAATAAATGCATGAAAACACACTTTGTTCAAATGAAGCAGATGCTAGCAAGGGCTACAGTACACAGAAACAGCACTCAGACCATGGGCCCTAGCAATAGTATTTCTAAATAGTTTTTATAAGCAAAAGTATTATTCCTTACAGGACTTGTTACAGAGGGCTGTGAAGGTGGTTGAGCGCCTTTTCTTTTTGCAAAGCTATGTCCAAAATAGTACTGTTTCCCTTTAGGGTTCTGCATATCTTCTTTTTCCAGATGATGCAATCTATTCTAAACTGCCTGGAACTGGAAAGCTTCTTTCAATGGTCAGGGCAAAGCCTAGGAAAAAAAATTCTTTTCTGATAGTAGCGAATAATACTCTTCTGCCATTTCCCCGTACATCTCCCATTACCAGTAGACCATGTACCTACATCAGGGTGTAAGCCAAAGCTCACTGAAGTCAACTGCCAGGTCTCTTCAGGACAGACAAACAAGATCTAGGTCTCTGCCCCTTTAGATAGAAGAGATTTACCTTTGGTTGTATTACCATGTGTCTGATGCTACACACTATCTACAAAATGCTGAACCAGCTCTGCAAAGCTGTGACTAAGACTCCTACCTCTTATCTGTTAGATTCTAGATTTCAGCTTAGACTTCCAACAGAGGAACTCTGCCAAGTTTCCCAAAGGCACCTCAAGGGGTTAGGTTCCCCAGCTGCTCTGCTGTGCCTCTGATAGTGGTTAAATATCCAGCAGCAAAATAGTATGTTGTATTAACTGAAGATGCTCATGAATGCTGGCTTCTCTGTCTCAAGACAGAACTGCAGCAGCTTCTTAAATTACAAAATGCAGTTTCTGGTAGAAGGAAAATAACACAATAATTGTCACCAGAGTTCCTCTGGAAGAAATCATTATTTTACAACCAAGAGCTCTGATTGTATCTTTTCCCCCCATGCAAGGTTCATTATAGAAAATGAAACAGAATAAATTTAACTATGCTTTAACTTTGGCAGCTGGAATACATTTATCATAGGTGAAGGATTTGACATTTGGACTTGTAGATAACGAAGATTTTATTTGGCTTTGGAAGAACAGATTGCTTTTGATAGTATAAAATTTACAAAGAATATAAATCTACTTTTTATCTTAATGGACTTTTTATTCAAAAGTAAATGTTTTAAGACCTGCAGATGTTGAATAAAAATGTGCAAAACCAATTTTAATTGATTTTCAATAAATTAACTTGAAACCTGCATTTGTGTTCTTAATTTTATAATCAAGGAAGAAAGCTTTATTTACGAATGCTGATACCGAGGTAACAAAAGCTTTAACAATGCACCTTTCTCATTTAGGATGGTGAGGCACTGGCACAGGTTGCCCAAAGAAGTAAATGCTCCATCCCTGTCAGCATTCAAGCCCAGGCTGGACAGAGCCTTAAGCAACATGGTCTACCATTCAGGTGTCCCTGCCTAGGGGTGATCTTAAGGTCCTTTCCAGTCCAAACCATTCTGTGATTCTCTCTCATGCAGTGTTTAAATTGTGTTCTTATTCAGTGTAGCCCAAAATCAACTTCAGCAATGGAAATAAGATTTGCATAGCTGTCAGGTCAATTATACCAACCTCTTATCTTTGTAATAGAAAGTACACTGAGTTTTGAAGCTCTCAGATGCATGTCACATATGAGCCTTGGATTCCCCCCCCCAAATATTTGTACCTTAATGCTTACACTTCATATTGCACCTGGAGTTCATTACACACACAAGAACAGCGCAAGTGCCAGTTATGCAGGCAACTTTAAGAATAATTCTAGGAAGAACAGTAGGTATTGTCTTGCGCAAAATTATAGCAGGGGTCAGTATTACTACTGAGAGTAGTGAAGACTCAGTAGTATTACTGAATTTCTGCTTTCCAAGAAGAGACAGCAAGACCAAAGGCTAGCCTAAATCAAGATGCCTTAGTATTAAATCAACACCCATGACTTTGGGAAAATGTTTGTCTAGTTGAGCATTACACATTATTAACTAAAACAAGTCCCAAGTTTCTCACTTCAGAAAAACAGTGGGAGGAAACACCTCAAGGAATAGATAATGGGAATTTGCAAGGTTGTGATAGCTCAGAAAGACAGCAGCAAATAGTCATTTGAATTCAAAATACACTTTAGAGTACTCTAACCCAATGACCATCTGTTCTCACAAACCATTTTTAGAAAGCATATTACAGAAGGCACTTAGTCTTGATCAGTTGTTCTGACTTATGTGCATGTTTGTGCATTTACAATTAACAACACTGCATTGGTCATGTGAATTTAGGAAAGTATTCTTCAACAGCAAAAATCAGCTGACATCTAGTGATCTGTTGAGTACTTCCATTAATACATACATTTTCTTCCTCTAAACAATTTCACAATGTTAAGTACTTCCATTTCTCATTAGGTATCGTCATTAAAATCAAACATGTAGGGAAAAATAAAAGGGAAGCAGGAAAGCAGTATCACAGATTATTAAGGTGTAGCAATCAAGAAACCCAATACTAGTTATTAATATACAATAATTTCACATTATTCATAAGCATATACACAAGATCCTGAGATGGAAAGCTGAACATTTTGGGGCAGTTTTTTCAGTTTAGTCAAGTGCTACACAAGACAAATCCAATCTTGTTTATCACTTCACAAGACAATAAACCTGGCCTCTCCGGAAGCCTGCTAACCGCATTGTTCAAATAACGAAACAGGAACTTCCTCTTTGTACTGTGTTTGAACTGAAGAAGTAAATAATTAAACTACTACAGTACAACATTGTGTTGCCAGATCAGACAGTTAATAGTAGAAGGAACAGTGGTTTGACTCAAAAAGGTATGTGTTCAGTGAAAATAATCAAAAGCCCTTTTGGAGACAGCCATCCAAAATGCAGTTCCCTTAACTGGTCTCTTGAAGCACACACCATGAAAAATAACACCTTCTGCCTTCACTTCTTCCCGTAGACTAGCACAAGTCCCTTGCATCTCAGTGCAGTGCAGCACTTCCTTGTAGCTCTGCTTGTTTTTCAGGTTGCAGCACTCTCCTCAGTCTATGACTACGTAGTACAGTGGTAAGATCACCTTATTAAACATTTCATTCAAC